CATACATCACTTTTTCACTTGTTAGCCATGTAGAGCCTGTACCATTTTTGCGATGACCGCTCGGGCGACCTGCCGAGCTCAGCTGTGACGTACACGGGACCAAGCATTGTAAGACGAGATCAAGTCGAATATTGAGACAGTGAATATTTCGAATCCGTCTGAAGATGTTTGTCTATTGCAATGTTCTATCACATATTCCCCTATCTGAACAGAAAAGCGACAATGGAGCCAGCATTGATCTACGGGTATCCAGAAAAAAGAAAAAAGAAAACGATGAACATATAGAAGAAAAGATAACCATGAGCCGCATGACACGTTAATTTAAGCCCAGTAACCCAGGAGCGCCATCAGACCAGCACCAAGGACCATAAGGCCGAAAGCCTTGAGTGTCCGGCTAACAGGACCTTTTTGCATGTAAGGGCTGAACATGAACTCGTGGGCCATGAGCTCGACAAGTCCAGTGTAGATGAGGATACCAGCACTGATGGAATCGAAAACACCATTGGTAAGCAGTGTAGTGCGTGACTCTGGAGCAAACGATTGTCGGACACCTAGGCCGATGGCAATAGCGATGGGGGTGGAGAGACCATAAGCTAGACCAAGGAGGTACGGCGTCCAGCGCTTGGATGCTGGCCAAGGAACCTCAGCCAGACGCGTTCCCAACCCCAGACCCTCGAACATCTGGTGGAATACCAAGACGATGTAAAGCGTAATGAACTCCTCGCCAGAGACAGCAAGTGTAAGGCCGATGAAGATAGAGTGGAAGATGACACCGAACTCGAGGATGAAGACGGCTGTCAGCTGGGAAGCGTAACCTTCTGGCACGAGAGCGCGAGGCGTCATATCGGACTTCGACTCAGCTTCGTGGTCAACGTGGTCGCGTTGGTGGCCAAGATGGTCTTCTCCACGCATGTTAGGGTTGGTACCAGCGGACCCTTCGATGTCACCCGCCTTTTGCTCCTTCAAGTTGTTGTCGAAGCTGCTGTAGTCTTCGGCGTGCGCCGCGGGTGGGATTCTTGCAGGTGCGTGGCTGTGCTCATGATCATGATCATTACCGAACTTGGCGTAACGCATGGTCATAAGCTCAAGGAAGAACATAAGGAAGAGGGTCATAAGGGCAATGCCCTCAGGCCAGGGGTATGCGGCAATGACACCGGTCAGACACTCGTTACCCAGTGCTTCGTTCGCTGGTGCGAGAAGATGGATGAATGCAGTAGTGATAATCACACCTGAACCAAAGTACTTTGCAGCGAAGAAGACCCAGTTGGGTACCAACTTGTGGCGCGTACGTCTTGCCAGAACAGGGAACATGGCACCTGTGTGGTGTTAGTGCGCGAAGATCAAGGTGGGATTGTTGTACATACCGAAGCTAGATGCCACCATGATGACAAAAATGGACGAGACGCGGGTACCCATACGGCCATCGTACTCGTTGTCGCTGCCGCAAGTGATGACCTCGTCGGGCTGTGTCTCTGCACCCTGATCTTGACGCAGCACAAGGCGTGCAATCTCGAAAGCGGTAGAAGCCATGGTGGTATGGAAAGAGCTTGCAGTAGATGAAGGGCGGTGTTGCAAAGTATTCGCCTAAGGTATTTTTGACCAAAAGGGCCTCCAATATTGTTGATCTCTCGTTGGTTCGGGCCCGGAAATCTGGTAGTGGTCCAGCGGAGCAGCAAAATCCAGTAAGCTTTCTTGGGTATGCAGAGAAGCTTGGTTCCGGCTCGGCAGTGCGTGTCTTGTACAGTCTTGGGCAACAACAAGCACTATATAATGGGCATTTGACCGCAATTAAGCACCCTGATGGATAGAAGGAAATGCTTGACGGACCTCGTAAGAATTGACGGGGCACAGCGCTGGTAGGAGGATGTGACGACGGGCCATATGCCAAAAGAGCTTTACCTAGAGTACCGTGATGGTGCGCTAAGGGCGAATATTCCACTGGTGCATCGATAAGAGGCCTATCGCGTCGACTGTGGCTGTCATTCGTGGGGGGCGTATTGAAGAGCTATTAGGATATGGAAAGAACGTGGGATTTGTGTCAACCATGGTGTTGGTATTCAGCATGCGCGACGATGAAGTTGTTAGTACGCGGCGAACGAGCGTTCAGCAACTGCCAACTTAGTCAGCCACGATGCTAGCGCGATTCGACTTACTCGAGGCGAACCCTCAACAATCCTACCATGGAGAAGTTCGCGTCCACTTTAAACTCTGGGGCGGTATCGAGTGGCTGAAACTGAGATAAATCTGGAAACACGACACCTTCAGCGCGCACTTTGACGAACCAAGGGAAGAAGAATGAACATCGCAAGCATGTCCGCACCCGAAGTACAACCTAAATTCCGATGAGCTCAACACCCAACAAGACATGCCTATGGATGCAGGCGCGAAAGTAAGAATATGAACTACGCCGTGATGGAATGGTGAGAAAGTAGCGGGATACTTGTGTTGAGATGGCGAGGCTGTCACAAAACTTGGCAAACGGCCTCGTTGAGTAATGTGCTGAGGCTGGGCGTGTCGCGATGCTCGTTGTAACTGCATTTAGGTTCAGACGGAAGCAACTGATGTGGTGATGGGCGCAGTCTCCGCAGTCTCCTCACGCGCTGCCGCGTGATCCGAGGATATGTACCGGGCATCGTCGACAAAGACAGAAATGTAGATGCACGTCGTCTCAGACATGAAAGAGTCCAGGATACTCCCTATAACAACAAAACGTATGCACTTCGGCCCGCTTCAGCTCTCCAGAAGCTCTGAATGGTTGGACCAGATCACACCACCGTGAGGGGCTATTGACTGGTGAGATGTAGAGTACCCGCCAATGCGCGACAGGGCGGGGTCGTCGCATGTACAATTGGGTTCGATGGCCATGGCGATGTCAGCGACTTGATGGAATCCAGGCGATCGAGACATGCAACATGGAAATGAACATCGGCGCACGGAAGAGGGGGATCGAAAAGTTAATACAATCGGTGGTACTGAAACCTGTTTGTGAGGCTAGACGCGAGCAGCCGAGGGCGTGCACTCACACTGCGCTTTGTTGCTGTGGGGAACATCCTGGACGGCTTGGCGCGGTGAAGCATTGATGATGTACCAAGGTACTCTTTCGCGTAGCAACCAGCCCCACTCGACGAGGTCACTCCGATGCCTCAACCACGCGTGCAGAGGACGCCATTGACGGCCGCCATGACAGCTCCAGTGCATTGATGAGTGCATTCGCGCAGAGAGTTCAGACCCTTAATTTGAAGCTGTTAGGCGCGAGCTGATGTTCGTGCATCCTTGCTTCTTACGCAGGCCGTAGCGGGAACCAATCAATAGCGCATGCCGTGAGGGGCTATGACGTCTCGATTCTTGTTTCGTATAGCTCCTGCCGCAGCTCCAACAGGTGACCGCATAGCTGCCTAGCTTCTCCTCTTTATAACTCCGCCTTGTCTCACTCTGTTCCTTCATCTCACTGTCAACTCTCCCATCGATCACTCGTCAGCACATACAGTTGCTGTCAAGGTCCAGGAGTCAATTCACAACACCAAATCGCCATCATGATTGAGGAAGTCTTGAGGAAGACCTCGGAGATGTTCCCGCTGCCCACGGCAACGGCCTCATCTCTGCCTTCGGTTGCTCCCGTTCCCACTGTCATCCCCGGCAGCGAGCCCGTCTACGAGGTTGCTGGCGATGCTGGACAGAAGACGCTTTGGGTCGTCTTTGTCCTTATGCTGATCGCCTCTGCTGGATTCACTGTCATGTCATGGAAGGTCCCATTGGTAAGGACCCCGTTCCGAGTGACTTGAAACGCAATGCCTAACACATACTAGAACAAGCGCCTCTACCATGTCATCACCACCATCATCACCCTCACCGCAGCCCTCTCCTACTTCGCCATGGCCACTGGACACGGTGTTTCCCTGAACAAGATTGTCGAGCGCGAGCAACATGACCACGTTCCCGACACCTACACCACCACCTACCGCCAGGTCTACTGGGCCCGTTACGTCGACTGGAGCATCACCACCCCTCTCCTGCTCCTCGATCTCGGTCTCCTTGCTGGCATGTCCGGAGGACACATGATCATGATGATCGTTGCCGACTTGATCATGGTTCTTACTGGTCTGTTTGCTGCTTTCGGCACTGAGGACACTCCCCAGAAGTGGGGCTGGTACACAATTGCCTGCATTGCCTTCATCTTCATCTTCTGGCACCTTGGCCTTAACGGTGGCGCCAACGCCCGCGCCAAGGGTGACAAGCTCCGCACTTTCTTCGTCTCCATCGCTGCCTACACTGCCATCCTCTGGACTGCCTACCCCATGTAAGTTCATCCGTCATCGTATCCGTCCTCTTCATGAAACTAATACTTTCGCAGTGTCTGGGGTGTTGCCGACGGTGCCCGCAAGGCTAGCGTTGATGCTGAGATCATTTCCTACGCTATCCTCGATGTCCTTGCCAAGGCTGTCTTCGGTGCCTGGCTCCTTGTTGCTCACGCCAACATGCGCGAGAGCGATGTTGAGCTCAACGGCTTCTGGGCTAACGGTCTCAGCCGCGAGGGTGCCATCCGCATCGGTGAGGACGACGGTGCTTAAATGCACTAATCTGTATCACTCTCACTACAGAATGCTTTGACAAGAGTGGTTCGCCTGTGATGGGACCGGAACCTGGGATGAAAGAAAAGGCTTACGCGGCATGTGTCTGTTTCCTACTGTCCTTTAGGTCAGTAGTTCTCCTCAATGATCTAGCTTTTCATCAATGGAGTTGGGGGGCTTGTCAATAGGTACGGGATTGGACGCCCATGATGTGGACGTATGTAGTTAATGCAATAATGATATTGATCTCGTACTTTGGTCAGGACCGCGTCCCGGCTTACCGCCGAACCACTCAATCTGATGTGCCGCATGGAAATGGTGATCCGCGTGTCCCGATCCCCTCGTTCAGGTCCGCTTATATATTCAAGTGTTCTTGGCTGTGTCGTTGTATTCCAGTTTGATCATTCATTAGTGAGACCTTTATAGCCTACCATGTTATCGTCAGTCCTTACCATTGTGCTTGCGGCACTTCTTATGCAACCGTAAGATAATTCCAGCCGCGCCGTTTTCCATGCCCTGACATATAACCCAGCGCATTCTCGGTCAGCCCTACTTCGCCGTCTCCCACGCCCACACCATCGGCAGACTGCGTAGTCAATGTATTCAGATCGCCACCTCGCCAGACTAACTGCACCTTCTATGAAACCACGACTACTTCGACTATGTACACGGACTGCAGGGGATGCGCGCTGAAGACGAAGGTTTTAGGCGTAGGGCTTGTGAGTGTCTCTTTCCAAGCATCGTAGATTGGGAAAGCTGATTATGGTGACATTTGTAGGGTTGCCGGGTTTCTACGACGGTCCCAGGAACTGCAACTGCCACAGTTACGGCTTGTAAGAAGGATTGACGATGCTGGGAGGTGCGACAATGACTAGACGTGGGAAAGGCAGCTTGGTTGGCGTTGATGTGTCGTAGTATCTAGCATACCATGAATACCAGGACGCGAAATCTACACAAAAACGTTAGCAGTGGGACGGTGATTGCTAGTTCAGGTACTTGGGCATTCCTCGATAAGATCGACTGCAGATGCCCAAGCCGCCTCACATGGCAATCTTTCGGCGCCGCGTCAAGAAAGTGTCGCTAGAAATGAAACGTGCGGCATGTGCGCATCGCTTCGCGCATGGACTCGATGCTGGTCAGCCAACGCTCCGTCTGACGCGAAAATCAAGGCAGCACGATCATGTCTTGCCGCCTTAGGGGTGCGTCTTTTTGCTCATCCGACGTAAGGTGACGCGGTGACGGCACGCGCCTGATCCCTGCTGTATCGCTGCAGGGATTCGGTAGGCGGCTGCCCCGCAACCAAGGCGCGATGCAACAGAGCAACCTTGGAAGGCACCTCTCCCCTCTCGTCTCACATTGAGACTCTCCTTAAGTACCCGTAGCAACCCCTTTGATCGCAAGTCACCAACCTCACTTACTACCCCATCTTCCTAAGCGACTAACAACAATTGCCAACATGACGTCCGAGAACACTGACATTGTCGACGAGACGCCCATCTCTCCCGTTCGCTCTCTAGACAGGCGCAACAGTCTGGAGAAGCACCTGCAGCATCGTCCGGAACCGCAGGATCTGAAGAACAGGCATATCCTGCTAGATACCACTACTGCGCCGTATGTTCCTGACCCCGGCAAGCTCACGGAGCTCTACTAGAGGGAGCTCTTTCCTCTACAACAGCCTCACTAACGCCCAATCTGCAACAGTGCTCTCCAAGCCAAGGCCCTCGAGCTCGAGCGCCAGCGCGCAACTGACAACCTCAAGAAGGGCCTCAACTCCCGTCCTGAACGCGCCGAGCTCGTCGACCGCAACATCCTCCCCGCCTCCAACGCTGCGCCTGCTCTACAGGGACACCAGAAGGAACTCGAGATGCACATGAAAGCGGATAGTCTGGAGAAGGGGCTGCAGAGCAGGCCGAGTCCGGAAGAGCTTGTCAAGAAAGGCATTCTGGATGCTGACGAAGCCCCTGTCAAGGATGCTTGAGCTTCGCACCCGGCGACAGTCACACTGCTGACTTTGTCCATTCATGCATATGGCGTTAGCGGAATTTTGTCACACATTTGAGGTTGCACTGAGCTTCTTCCAAGTTGTACGGTTATTGCAAACATGAGTATACATCACGTCATGAATCGAGTTTGCTGCTTTGGCGGCTACTCTCTCTCTCTCTCTCTCTCTCTCTCTTATGTCACATTCTCCACATAACCATATGCGGTCTTGAAAAAGTGTTTGTGCAAAGAGTGGCACGAAGCTCGTGACTTCATTAAATCATCATGCTAATGCTAAGTAACGACAGCCTAGCCTCGACCAGAAACAAACTGGCAGCAACAAATCTCGCATACAGTCGTCTAGTGACCGACCTTCTCCTCACGGACAACAGTCGAGTTCTTGCCGTCCATGTCGAGCTCAGTGCCATGGGCGTGGTTCTCACGGTCAGCCTCCATGTTCTTGACAAGCTCAGTGATACCAAAGAGGTCGTCCATCTTCTCGAGCGACAGACCCTTGGTCTCGGGAATGAGGAACCAGACAAAGATGAACATGCTGAAGCAGAATGAACCGTAGGTGAAGAAAGTTCCGTAACCACCCTGACCCATGGTAGCCATCATGTTGGGAGTAGCGCGAGCGACGACGAAGTTGAAGAGCCACTGGTATGAAATCAGTACATACGCCACATGCATCTCATACAGTCAGAACTTACCTGAGTAGCAGCAGCGATGGCAACATTGAGGGAACGGAGACGTGCGGCGGGAATCTCAGACACGTAGATCCAGCAAACTGGTCCCCAACCAAACTGGAAGAAGAGGGCGAAGAGGAACACGCAGACAAGGGCAAAGTATCCGGCACCTGGTACGGGCTCATTCGGGACGGGCGGGTCAACACGCATGTAGATACCGATGTAGAACATGGCCAGTCCCTGTGCGATCGAGGTCCAGAGGAGCGAACGACGACGGCCAAGAGAATCGGCGGCGAAGATCAAGAAGGCGAAACATCCAACCATCTTAACAATACCATAAATACCGGTAGCAAAAAGCTTGACCGCGTTACCCTTGAGTCCGAGGGCGGCGAAGATCTGAGGTGCGTAGTAGTTGATGGCATTCGTTCCAGTCATCTGTTGGCAAATCATGAGTCCGATGGAGATGAGGGCGCGCTTGCGGTTACCAGGGATGGTGAACATCTCCTTGAGAAGATCCTTGACACTGGCACCGGCAACAAGCATACGCTCGTGCTCGAGCTGATCGGCGATGTCCTTGATCTCGTCCTGGACGTAGGCATGAGACGATGGCAGGTTTCGCATGCGGGCAAGGACGGTAGTGGCCTCTTCCCACTTGTCTTGCTTGGCGAGGAAACGGGGCGACTCTTTGTTCAGGGCCATGCAGCCGACAAGGAGAACAGCGGGAAGAGCTTGAAGAGCGAGAGGAACAATGTAGACTTGCGCACCGCCGGAAAGGTGCATGAGCGATCCGTAGTTCACCCAGAACGCGAGACCTGTCTCTGTCAGTATTTGGTTCACATGCAGTTCGTACAGGGCCATTTCTTACAGGTTCCTGTAGCAATGAACTAACCACGAGTCAGTGTATGTCTCACATGCATCTCGTAGAGGCACAACTTACCAATTGGTAAAGACCGGTGAGACCGCCACGGATACCACGAGGAGCGTTTTCTGAGATGTAAAGAGGGACAACCATGGAGGCGCCTCCGACACCGAGACCAGCGACGAAGCGACCGACGTACATGGCCTCGAGTGAACCCATGGCAACGGCTTGAATAACGCAACCGACAATGGTCACGAGACCAGCGACCTGGAGTGCCATCTTACGACCCCAGCGATCGGCGAACCACGAGGCGACGAAGCAACCGGCGAAACAGCCAGCTTGGAGAGTTGAGGCGATGTTGGCGTTCAAGTTGGCCTTGCCGACCTTGTCGAGGTTGGTAATGTCGTATTTGCTACATGTCACGTCAGTGTCGTGAAGACGGAAATAAGTGCAGAGGGAGCACATACTCTTGGAACTCCTTCAGCTCAAGTACACCACCAATGGTTCCGATATCGAATCCGAACAACATGCCACCAAAGCAGGCTGAACCAGCCATGGCGAAGGCGCGCCATCCGTAAATCTCATGAGGATCAGTCTTGATGGAGTCGTTCTTGACAATCATGCGAATGAACTTCGCACCGGCGGATGGAGACGACATGACGGCGGATAGTTGGCGATGTTCTACCGTATCGGCTGGCTATAAAGATCTATCTTATCGTTAGCATACATGATGTTGTGTAACATAGGACAGAATACATACCTTGTCGATGGGCGACTGCTAAACCTCAAACTGACCCTGGACCAGACGCTGGTGTACGGCACCAGATGGAGCTCGAAGGGAATGAGTGAAGAGAGAGATGTCTCCGCAGTCTGATGTTCAAAACCCCAGTGGGATGTGCATGGCCATCTATATAAACAGGATGGTACTGCGGCCCATGCGCTATCCCGCTATCCTCGCAGCACTAGCTCCTTGCTCAAGACGGGGTAACTGCCTGGTCCAACGCCGCGGTCTTTGCCATCTTGCCTCAAGCTATCGTGAACCCCAGACTAGACCCCAGACTCCACGTTCCAAATCCTCCACAGACAGCTCTCACTGCTGCCGCTAGAGCCAACCGACTTCCCCAGACCAGGTAGCTAGATCGTTAGATGGACGAGTCCTCGTGGCTCCGGCCAATGGGGTCGATTCAAAACCAGCACCGCACTTGCTCAAAGAGAGCATGGTGGTGATATTGTCTTGGCTCGGCGGAAACCTCGTGGTGGGATTTGTGGAGTCAGTGAAAGGCCGTCTTGGAACCGCCAAGTCCGCGCCTTTTTCCGTCCAGTTGCGAGGAAGCGTGGCGTTGCAACTTCAATGAAACAAGACTTGCCAAGAGCCATGTCCCCAGGTCGGCAGACCAGTCTGGGGCGTCCCCACTCTCGAGTGTTGGGGGAGAATTGAGCAACGGCCAGCCTTTCCGTGTTTGGTTTGGTAAGATGCTGACACCCGCTGATAGCAGGCGCTACGGTTGTTGTGGCCATTTATCCGCGTATTAGACCTGCGAAGTGGTCGGGGTCATGGATGCCCCACGGCCGCGCCGACGCGTGATGGGTCGATTGCAAAGGATTGTGGATGCTGTGGAGAGGTGACGGTTCATGTAGGCAAAATGGACGTCCACGAGTTGTTGAATATGGTCGTGGGGTGATGGATACTTTGTAGCTTTTCAGGCAAAAGAGAAGCTTCGGGGTTTGGTGTCGCGAACCTCGGTGCAAGTTGCGACACTCAACACCTGCAGTCACCACTTAAGATGCACCACCAGCCCCACGCAAGAAGAGCCTCAAGACTGTCGATACTGGAATAAACGTTCGTCTCGTGTAAACGACTGCGGCGAAAATCAATACCGGAATCAAGCCTTTTCGCCTCATCACGCCCGAATCCGCAGCTTGTACAGGTTGCTTCCGTCTTGGAGTTCTGGGCTCCTGGGCATTTCGGCTGCGCTTAACACCACCAATACCAATCCATCAGCAGCTCACGTCAAGATTATTTCTGGACAAACTTATCGCCAAGGAAACTGAACATAATCGCCCGCGCAGCGGAGATAGCGGACACGGAAGTTTGGATTGCATATTCACCGTCAGTCGGTCCACCCAGATAGAGACGTATCGTATCGATTGTGGTCAGCCACTTGCAGAAGCAACTACCCTAGGGCACCGGAAACCGGAAGCATGACAGCCACGACAGCAAATACCAATCGGGCTTTCGACCTGCACCCTTTCTCCACGAATCCGCTCAAGACGCGTGACGATGTTGTTGCCGCCGTAGGTTCACTGCTGGATCCCCTCATTCCTGGTTTCTCTCCAGACAATGCTTTGATCAAGGTAGGCTCCACAGGTACACGCTTTGATGAGACAGGTGCTCAGGTTGAGGGTTTCGCACGCCCGCTATGGGGTCTCGCACCGCTGCTAGCTGGTGGCGGCAAGTATCCAGCAACCGACAAGTTTGTTCAAGGCCTCATTTCTGGCACGGATCCTGGGAGCCCAGAATTCTGGGGGTACATGGAGGATACAGATCAGAGGATGGTGGAGGCGTGCCCGATTGGATTCACGCTTGCTGTTGCGAATAAACAGTTTTGGGATCCATTGACGGACAAGCAGAAGAAGAATGTGGAGACGTGGTTAGGGAGTATGAACGATAAGAAGATGCCGGATACAAACTGGTATGCTAGCCATTTGTTTCTTCAAGTCCCTGTCATGCTGTATCTTGAGATGTGATATTAAGTTTTTGCTAGGCTTTGGTTCCGCGTCTTCGCCAATCTGGGACTCGAGAGGAATGGGGCGAAGTGGTCAAAAGAGCAGCTAGAGAAGGATATCAAGCAGCTGAACACGTACTATCGTGGTGATGGCTGGTCCAACGATGGACCTGACACATATCGCCAGATGGACTACTACTCCGGCTCCTTTGCGATCCAATACCTGCAGCTCCTCTACTCTAAACTTGCCGCAGACATTGACCCGGAGCAAGCCGAAGAGTACAAGAAGCGCGCACACATGTACGCCCTTGACTTTGTCCATTACTTCGACCCTGAAGGCCGCGCCATTACCTTTGGTCGCTCGTTGACGTATCGATGGGCCATGGTAGCCTTTTGGGGCGCCGTCGCCTACGCCGACCTCGAGCTTCCTGAACCTCTTTCCTGGGGCGTAGTTAAGGGAATTTGGATGCGCAATTTACGTTGGTGGACAACGCAACACGACATCTTCCAGTCCAACGGCATGCTCACAGTGGGCTACTCGTACCCCAATTACTACCTAGCCGAGAACTACAACTCGCCGCAAAGTCCATACTGGTGCATGCTCGCCTTTGCTTGTCTCGCAGTCCCAGAGTCACATCCCTTCTGGTCTGCTAAAGAAGAGCCACATCCTTTTGCCAACACCCGCGTTGTGCGTTCGCTCCCTCATCCACGTCAAATCGTTTGCCGGTCCGGCGGCCACACCTTCCTCCTCTCGAGCGGTCAGTCTTGCCACTACGCTATCAAGAACAGCAACGCCAAGTACGGTAAGTTCGCCTACAGCGCCGCCTTTGCATACTCTGTTTCCACTGGTTACCAGGAACTCGAACAATTCGTGCCAGAGTCGCAACTCGCCTTCTCTGACGACGGGGGCGAGCTGTGGAAAATGCGGAGGGCACTTAACGGTGATTCGCAGATTGAGGATCGCGATGGAGTGCCTGTATTGGTGTCGAGCATGAAGCCATGGAGTGATGTGGAGATAACATCGTATCTGATCCCGCCAGCCGAGGATACACCAAACTGGCATCTGCGCGTCCATCGTGTGATTTCGGGTCGAGACGTCAAGAGCGCAGAAGGCGCATGGGCTGTGTACGGCGCACGCGAGTCTGACGGTCGCCTCCTCACTGAATGGAACGGTACACTGCGTGAATTAGACACCTCAGTCCCCGAAGGCGCCTCCTCAGACCATGCATCCGCCTTCGCAGCCTCGCCCCGTACAGGCGCAGTCGGCATCACGGATATCTACCAGAGCCAACGACAGGGTAGTGTAATCCTGGCTGATGCGAACAGCAATCTTGTCGAGAGTAGGACGGTGCTGCCCATTGTGCAAAAGGATATCAAGAAAGGGGAAACTGCGTGGTTGGTTACGGCGGTGTTTGCTATGCCTGCCAGTAAGGAAGGGTGGAGGGAGGGGTGGAAAGAGGGCTGGGAGAAGAGACCGGCTGTGCCTGGGTGGGTAAAGAGTATGCTTGAGGCGTAGCACTCATGGAATGATGAATGAAGTATATTGCTAAAGCGCCCTGTTGAAGCATGTCCATGTATGCGCGCTCCTCGCGCCGTTGATGTGGCGTTGGTTGCCATTGTTGTTCTCAGTCATTTTTCGTAGCGTCCAATGGAAATGCTCCAAATCACCATCGTGGGTTACTGCATCTAGAAATAGCAGCTAGTGTGGTGAAGGACCATGCACACGGACAGGGCGAGAAGGCTCGATGGGTGGCTGTCGGCGGTAGCGCAAAGTCAGGCGGCTGTTCTGGCGCCCCACCAAATCCACTCACATCCCACTCATCGACTCGCGCAACGTTGAACTCGACACAAGCGCCGACGAAGATCCATTCCACCTTTGCTGCTATCGCGACCGGACCTTTGTTTAACCATCCCCCCTCGCTCACTTCTTCTCTACCCACATCACCAAAACGGCGTCACCAGCCCCAACCCCCGACAAGTCCCGCCCGCCCTCACCTCTGCGCATTGCTAGCCAGCTCACGACCGCCTCGGCCATCCTCTGGGACCCCAAGTTCACCTCGCGAGCGCCCCCGGGCAGTCTCAAGCCAGTCCACGCCGGCACTCTTGTAGCCCCGCAGCGCACCGACTCGTCCATCAGCGTCCGCAACCTCGGCGACGGCCACACTGTGCCCATCGTACCTACCATGGACAACAGAAGACACCCCAGCTCCTTCCAGCAGCTGGAGAAGCTTGGTGAGGGAACATATGCTACTGTAGGCAGCCACGATGCACTTCACACATTGCATGCTAACTCGCTCAGGTGTTCAAGGGTCGCAACCGCCAGACGGGCGAGCTGGTAGCCCTGAAAGAGATACATCTTGACTCGGAGGAAGGCACGCCCTCGACCGCTATCCGCGAGATCTCGCTCATGAAGGAGCTGCGACACGAGAACATTGTCCTGCTACACGATGTCATACATACTGAGAACAAGCTCATGCTGGTCTTCGAATTCATGGACAAGGATCTCAAGAGGTATATGGACTCGCGGGGTGACCGCGGTGCTCTGGATCCTGCAACCATCAAGTCCTTCATGTACCAGCTGCTGAAAGGAATCGCTTTTTGCCACGAGGCCCGCGTCCTCCACCGTGATCTGAAGCCCCAGAACCTCCTGATCAATAACCGCGGCCAGCTGAAGTTGGCCGACTTCGGTCTCGCTCGCGCGTTCGGCATCCCCGTAAATACCTTCTCAAATGAAGTCGTAACTCTATGGTACCGTGCCCCTGACGTCCTGCTCGGCAGCAGAACCTACAACACAAGTATCGATATCTGGTCGGCAGGCTGCATCATGGCTGAGATGTACACTGGGCGGCCACTCTTTCCAGGAACCACCAACGAGGACCAGGTTCAGAAGATCTTCAGGCTTATGGGCACACCATCTGAACGATCATGGCCGGGCATCTCGCAGCTGCCAGAGTACAAGAACAACTTTCCTGTTTACCACACCCAGGACCTACGCCTTATACTGCCACAAGTCGACCAGGTCGGTCTCAGCCTCCTCAACTGTATGCTCCAGTTGCGGCCAGAGATGCGCATACCCGCCGCGAACGCACTTCAGCATCCCTGGTTCAATGACCTGCCACAGAGGCAGCAGGAAATGGCGCAGATGCAAGCTCAGGCCCAGGCTCAGGCCCAGCAACCGCAGATGGGTGGCTACCAAGTGCCTCAGAACGCCTACTAGCAGCAAGACGTACACCGAGACGCACCAACGCTACATTCACGTGTGCAGCAGTTCCATCTACACACACAACAGCAAACACCAAGTGGAGACGAGGTCACACGGGCGGAGTATTACCAACATGCGCCGGGTTTTCAAGTGAGACGCGATACGTACAACTAGCGGGAAACATCAATATCTGGAATGGAATGACGTATCTTGCAGGTAGATTATCGTGAAGAGAGCCCTATTGGTCTCAAGGTGTATGCTATGATTGGGTGAAAGAATCTGGGTACAACCGCCATTGTTCTCAGTTGCTACAGCGCCCCTACATTCTTCAGGACGCAGTATGTAAGGGTTATGGACGGATCCAGTCGATGTGAGTCTGCTGCAGCGGCTCTCAGAGCCAAGGTCCAAGCTCTCAAACTTCGAGACACGCACTTCATTGTTATTGTCGCTATACACCAGCCCTAGTTGGCTAACAAAGTTCTTTCTATCCCCAATTTCAATCTTTAGATCAGGCATTTATCCTTATTTTCACATCCAAGCAAACTTTTCTTCTTGCCCTCACTACTAATGAGATCGGAGTATCATTTTTGATGGAAAGCATAGACGAGCGTATTGACAAGGGGAGTGCCCCTTTGAGAAGCTGTAAGTTATGGTTTGAACATGTGTACAGGAGATTGGGGCTTGTTTAAAAAGCAAGTTTGTGAAGTGACACATTTGCTCCTCTGTCGCGGACGGTGGGATTCTGAACAGGTGACCTAGATGGTGTCTAAGAACAGATAGGTCTGGAAGTACAAGGGGCGGAGACTCGCTAGCAAAAGAAGGCTACGAGGTTTATCTCGCACGATCCTGGCGATTAAGAGTTTGAGCATGAGTTAGAAGTCATGCCACCGCCAGACTAAAGCATTCATAGTTCATAGTTCATTGTTACAGCCTCATCTGCGGTATGGATTCATTCTAGTGACACCAATTCTAACCTTTGGTAGATCCATCTATACAGTATGCTTGAAAGCGAGAGGGCTAATTATCAATCGATCGGTGATACCTAGTATCGCTGCACCTATTTTTTTCCAGCTCACCAACCATTTTTGCGATTTGGCCAACACTCCACGTAAATTACTCGATTCACCACTGAGCAGCTCATACTTTCCCACTCTCCTTTCGTAGAACACTGTCAGTTCCTTGGATTTACACCTCGCCTCCAGGATCGTCTCTTGAGGCCCTTGTACCGTCTCCAAGGCAGCCTCTCCCTCTGCAATGACCTCCTTAGGACTTTCCATATCATGCTTTTCTCAAGTACAGGAACCAGAGCCCCCGGTCTACCTTACACTCTTCTTCAGAACACGCATACCATGCTTCTCCAACAAAGAAGCAACAGAGTCGGCATGTGCTACCTTTGCCTTCAAGTCTTCTAAGCTGTGTTCCTAGATCAAAGAGGGCAGGCTTTCGGCTTGCCTTACCATCCGCTTCAAATCTTGCATGCCACGCCTTCCTCAATAGAGAATCTACAGTGTCAGCATATGTTGTCTTACCTTACAGAGCATCTTGTCCACCGTGCCCTTCAAACCAGCGTGATACCTCGTTAAATCCCGAAGCCTTTTTTTCTCTCGGTCCAACATAAATTATATCTATTTCCGACTAGACTTTCCCTCTAGTAAACTTCGGTGCTTGCTTCAACCATGTTGTGAAGGCTCACAACAACCTTCCAATACTTTCCCGATAACATGTCCACTTCTTGGACCTCAATCGAGGCAAGCTCGGTCTCATCTGTATCCAGTGAGTAACACGTTAAAGTCATGAGCACTTGCTAGACTTACCACGATACTCGTCACGGACCTCTCTCTCCTTCGTATTGACAGCTACCCTCGTCTGATGGATGTTGCGCATGGTCACGTCTATTCGCCCTTCCTCCGGCTACAGCGGGTGCCGTCCAGTCTTTACAGCCTAACACTCTCTTTCAATTCCTCCTCGATGTTTCAGAGCGCCAGCTGGAGGTCACGCACAGTGCGCAGAATCTTCGTTATCACCACAAGCGGGGGGTGGTGGCCACGTTGAGCGACCGTGGGCAAGGGCGGGAGAGCGCAATAATGTTTCAGTGCGATTTCAAGCAGAAGTCTTCAGCGACATGCTTCGCTTCCCAGCAGAGGTAGTCGTGTCTAACACCTAAAGTAACACACATCTTGAACAAAACATGGTTGAAAGTACATAGCATATCATGAACAGCTACTAGTAGCCTGGTTCTCAATTCTCTCATGCCCTCGATCATGATATTGGTTTTCATTGAGTAGAACGTGTGCCATTCTGCTTGCCACGTGGTTGTTCTTGCCTCTGCCAGATATTCACTGATCGAAATTTTCTTCCGTATGATGCTGCGACTTCACACCATGAATACCTAGTCCGAAACAAGCTAAACGTTAGACAACGAACACCAAAGCTTCAGGCAGAGGGCCTAAACTAGTATGGCTAGAGCGTATGCGTCTGAGCATAGAGGGAAGCGAATGTTGGCAGACATCAACTAGCTGCTGTATAAGTATCAGGAAGGACTATATGCAGGGTTGCGACAGCTACGCAGACGGTGAACCAGTTTAGTGAGTGTGCACGTACCGAAAGCTCGCAAAGGACTTCCCAAGCAGTGTTCGCTAACGACGACTCTGTACGGATAGTGAGTATGCCGGCATGGATCTCTGCTGAACGGAGGACGTATGAAAGGCAGGATTGGGATGGCCTGAAAAGGGGAAAGACTGTGGATCGCGATGTGTGGGAATCTGCAAATCGGGATGCCTATGATACAGTATTTGAGAGGCTAGCTAGTGCTTCTAGTTTCTCATCCCGGAATGATGTTCGTCGCATGACTGGAAGATCGGTGGAGCCGAGTGACTATCTACGTATATGGAATTCACCTTGTAATGTGAGGAGTTTTTCCCAGCATTTTACGGAGAGTCCAACGAGCAACAGTCCCAGCGTGGAGAAATGAGACCAAGCGATCCACGATTTTCGGTGGTTCTGCGACTGGACGGTGAGTGGAAAGAGGTTGTGCCCCTAGAACTGAAGGTATCTCTCTAGTAAAAGCTGATGCGATACATTCAAGGATCTACTCAGACCAAGGCCTGAAATGGAATGACGGAGATGAACAAGGCCTGTGTCTTGACAAAGACCATCGGCAAGAATGATAAAGGGAGCTTCGGCGTACGCTGCAAGGCTGTGATTGTTGCAACAGCTAACGAAGCTTGCTCGACGTGTCCAGGGGCAAGACCTGGCGCTCGGGGCCAGTGGACAGCGATCATGCGTCCCGCGTGGTATCATTAACGATGGATAGCGTATCACTGCTGGGAGTTCTACCCCCTCCATCATATCTGCGCGTGGGCAAGGCGTGAGCGGAGATGAGGTACTAGGTGAAGGAGGACTGAGGACTGATGGAAAGAGACATGTTGGAGGGTATACAGTGGGGGGGAATGCGGTGGGTAGAGAGTTTGCCGCTTGACTGATAATCAGTCTCCACGATCTCAAGCACGTAGTGGGCAACAGTCGAGGCTATAAAGAGACCGTAGAGGAATACGCCCTTAGTCATTCGACGACTTCCATATCTTCGTATATTTTACACATCGTTCTGGATGCTCCAGCAGCCCTCTAATTCGATTGCTTACGTCAATCACCTTTTTATACATAGCGATACCTCCCAGTATGTCGCCATTAAGGATTATGGAACGATGCGTCTACAGCGTGTCTTCAGGTTTTTCACATGGTGCTTACCCATGACTAGACAATGGTTTTACGCTTAGACTCCAGGCCGGAGCAAGTCTTAACCTTTCCGGATCAAAGCCGGACGTGTATACAAGTCATGCATTGGAAATTCTCGACGACGCCTGGATTGTGCTCGTTTGTCAAGCGGCATTGGAGACACGCAGATACAGAAACAACGGCCCACAAACGCTTGGCCATGCCGACGGCGCGGCAACATCGGCATACAACGGAACTAGCATCTGCACATGTGTGAATGATGTCTCCGCAGCTCGGTTGGAAGCATTTTCTGCCCCCATCTTAGAGTAAAGAGGATCGAGAATTCGCCCAAAGGAAACGGAAAAAGCAACATCGTGATTGTAATTCCGGATATAACGAAAAAAGACGTTCCATGGTAAGTGGAGGTGGGCGGCAGACCAGGTTCCTTGAGTGGTGTTCTCATGGCCGCTATGGAGGAGATACGTGGCAAGTTGTTTCTATATTGCGAGTGAATGTGGTCGCCGAATTGAATGCGGCTTGGCGAAGTGACAATAGCCAACAAGGTACTGAGTTTTACTGAGTCGATCTGTGTATCGCGCGTTTGTTTCCTGGATTTTGCGGCTCAATCAACCATTTTCACATGTGCGCCAAGTTGTGCTACGTCGATATCACGTCTGTGTGATGAGTCTTGGCGGGGTACTGTTCTTATATCCGCGGACGCGTATCAGTCGGGGAATCAGAATCCAGAGTAATAGATAGAACAGCAGCGGGAATAAGGACGGGTAAATGCTTGAATGACCGCTGTCTGGTCTTGCCATGGAATGTGTGTTTTGGAGGGCAACGATGTTGGTGGAATGTACGAGAACACGATGACAACATGCTTCGGGGAAAAGGAAATATTGGCACGATAAGCAGTGATATCAGTCTTATCACGATATATGCAAGGCCCTGCGTGGTATCCAGGATTGGCTGAGTCGTACAATAGGAATTGGAGGCTGATGCAGAAAAACGGGAACGAGTATGGACTCATGCCCTTATCTGTGGATGGATATGTACTCGACAACATCAGGAATCGAGGAACCGGTGCTCTACTTCGTGTTAGTCCTTGACGGCAAGTGAAAACTACTATGCATACGAGATATTCGGAATCGATTTGCTGGTGGCCTGACTGATTTTTTATCTTGAATACGTAGGTAGAGCGCAAGAATTTTGAGAAGCGCATTTTACTCAAGATAGAGCAAGATTGTCTAGTGTCTTTCAGGCATGATCTCCGTTCAGCAATACTCCTATTCCGAGCAATATGGAAGTACTCTTCAAGTGAGGTCGCTTTGTACTTCAGGCATACGAGCATTCAGAATATACGAGGCCGCGTCAAGCCACATCCTGCTCTTACCTTATGGAGCCAATTGGAGAATTGCTGTCTTAAGCATGCCATGTAACCACACACCGATCAGCCAAAAATCAACGTTTCCGCACCTCCATCGCTTGGACAAGATTCGGCTCAGCGCATGCGTCTAGGAAAGTGCAGGATTTAGAGACTTTGCTTGCGAAAATCGACAAGACCCTGAACGGGAGAAGGCGATCTGCGCTTCCGGATGCTCGGAACAGACATGCGCTTGTGGCACACCGATTGCAGCAGATTCATCGCATTGGAGCGGAACCGCGATCACTTCACATGTTTGATATTCTGGACACAGGAGTGGCGATTGCACGGGAGGAGTCG